ATATATATATATATACAGACACATATGTATTTTATATTTTTGATTCATGGAAGACTAAAGACATGGAAAAAATCCAGCACCCCAACAAGTACGGCCAGGAAGGCTATCAGCTCTGTAATATAACAATTTAATGAGCTATAAACAAGAAAGGGTGGGAAAGGAAGGAAAAAATGTGCATTGAGTTTAAGACACTGTAAAACTGAGAAGACTTATTTACTATTCAAGTATAAACTCAGTAAGGACTTGGCATAAATTGAAAGGCAGCTGCTGAGGTACACCATTATAAAATAAGTTCAGGAATTTACAATTCTACCTTCCAATTTTCTGGGAGAAAAAAACCAAACTCTTGAAGGTCTTCACTAGAGACCCTGAGAGGGACTAATACTTTTGATGAAGACATAGTCAACAATCCATGATTGAATTTACTATTCAAAATCATGTATTTATTTAAAACAATAGGAATATGTGCTCTCAGACTGTCCTCTAAGAGTTTTGAAACTATTAGTTCAAGAGTTTCAAAGTATATTACGTCCCAAAACAATACTGCTTTAAAAAAATTTTTTTAACAAAACGCAAAAAACCTGATTTGATGGTACCTTAAAAATACCCTAATATACCAAATTTTCTCCAGTCGGACATTGCAGTTAATTTAAGAACTTTCTGCATTGTTAAAACATTTTTCCTCACAAAATGTGGGTACTGACATTAGATAGAAACACCATGAATGTGAAAATACCACCAATTTTCTGCAGTTAAAAAAAACTAGAATGTTCTTTGGAATCACTGAAATATCAAAATTTTGGGTTTTCTTCTATACTCTGCACCTTCATTCAGGCCCTCCACGCTGCTTGTAGTATTAACCTGTGTGATTCTAGTTTCATAGATTCAAGTCTTGCAGTGCAACATCCACGCTTATGAGCACACCAATGGGAAGTTACGCTTAGCCCAGAAACGCTGCTGTTTACTTCTCCATGATGACCTCTGTCTAACATAAAAACTTCAGAATGTGATACAAATCATCCTGTGCTAAACAATCAAATGAACCCAACACGGAGAATTCTAGTATGGTTCCAGCACTCTGTCTCCTCGACAGAGCGTACTGTCTCCTAGTTTTTCATGGAAGTATCACAGGCCTAGCTGTTAGCACTCAGCTTTCCTTGGCCTTAAAAAGGATTCTCAGGGCTGGCAAGTTGGGTTAGATTCTAAGAGAATTTTTTTGTTTTTGACAAACTACCGTTTTTAGCATAAAATCTGGCCATGGCTATAAGTTTCAATGTGCATACAATTGATTAGAGATGTTTTTTTCCTTTGTTTTTCTTTTCAAGATTGGCTGGAATTGAGTAGAAATAAGTCCATGATGCTTCTTCACATGTGTCATGAAATATGAGAAATCTGTCTGACTCTAGACACTATTTCTTTACGACACAGTGGGCAGGTCTCCAGTTGCAAGGCACAATCCATGCACAGGTCACTGAGAAGAAAGACATAGACGTTAGTTAGCTCACGTTCAAAAGGTCAAACCGCTGACGCAACCTAAAATGCTAACAGGCTTGTTAGTTAGAAAGGTAACAATGATATCTTTAGAAAAACTGAAGTAAATATCTAAATAAAAAAGTTAAGTTCCACATTACTGAACCTCAATTTGAGTAAAAATATTCTTCCATGAAATGTATAGTGAGCAGCCTACACAGAAAGGTTGTACTGGAGGCAGAACACACCCTCTCTCCCCAGGCAGCCGGCCAGGCACCATCTGTCCAATGGTTCATCTTTTACCACGTCTCATATGCTGATGTTTAACTTTTTGTGGGATTCTATTCTGTTCCACTCTTCTATCATCTTTTCACTGAACTAACATTTGGCTAGTTAAATTTGTTAACAAATTTAAAATTAAATTATTAATTTTTAAACAATTAAAAAAATCAAATATCAATTTACTATTAAGCATTAATTTGATCAAGATGTGGTGGGTACCTGAAGTCCTTCTATAACTCTCTTTTTTTCCCCCCAGAATTTTCTTGTCTTAGAAGATGTAAATTAGCGTTTTTACTTTCAGGGGAAAAATATCATGCTACCCTTTTTATGTGAACCAAATTAAAGTCAGGGTTTAGGGGAAAGTATTACCTTGTACAAAAATGAGAGGTTTTCCTATCCAACATCAGATCCACTTATCGGAACCTTCTATTACACTTCTTCATACAGGTACCGTATGTTTCTTGGTATGTATTATTAGACAGCACCCACTTTTTTTTTTTTTTTTTAAAGCTATTGTAAAAATGATCTTCAGGGCCCTCCCTGGTGGCACAGCGGGTTAAAGCACAGCACTGAGGAACTAAAGCCACTTCCCCATGAGTTCGATTTCTGCCTGCCCTGGAGGTGACCACATGACGTGGCAGACCTCTCCTGACCCGCCCCTGCTCCCCTCAGCAGTGTACTTCGTCTATCTGCCTGTTCTGCTCCCCATTCTGTCCCTGGTGAATCCTCTCACCCTCCGCATCTCTGGCTTGTACCCCAGTTCTGTATGAATAAATAAATCTTAAAAAAAAAAAAGAAAAAAGTGATCTTCAACTTTCATACATAGGATAACTTACTTTTTTATAACCAACTAGCTTATTCAATTGCCACCTTCATTCAAATAGGTTTTCTGTCAATGCTGGTGCCCTGGTAGATAATCAATCTGTAAATTCTAATGAGATTCTGCTCTTCTTTCTACTTTTACTTCCTCTTTTCTGTCTTGTGTAGGTGCTTTAGCTTTCTCAATCTAAGTCACAGTGCTAACAGAAGGCATTACTGTCTTGTCCCCAACATCTCTTGGAATGCTTCCAAGCGTCTCCTTTAAAAAAACACTAACATTTGGCTGAGCCATATACAGTAAATAAGTCCTCACTTGTCACCGTCGATAAGGTCTTTGAAATTGCGGCTTTAAAAGCAAAGGAACGTATGACAAAATGTGGTATCATGTTGTTTTGTTCAGTGCAGGTCAGGTTTTTTTTCCCATCAATGCTATAATCAAACAATGGCCAATGACCAGCTGTCTGCCTTTCCGTCTTTTCTATTAGCCATCCATTCCAATTTCATACTGTTTTCTTGTCTCTATGCATTTGTTTTGTAGTACTGCATTCACTAGGAATGGATAGTGAATTTTAACAAATGTCTTTTCAACATTTTTATGCAAAGTGTTAAATTTCTAGGCCTTCTCCTCTACTTGTCTGTTGAGTAAATTAAATCTAATTATTCCCTGAAAGTCTAAAAGAATTCATCTGTGAAACCATCTGGACATAGGGATTTTGGGGGAAAAGGCAAAGGCAGCTTTGGTAACCAGGTCAGTTGCTTCCATGGTAAGAGGAACGCTTATTAGAGCATCTCTTCTACGAGTCAGTTCATATTATTCAGTTTATCCATATTTCTTAATCCCCACTCTTTTAAAATTGTTGCTGAAAATTGAGCTAAGTTCTCTTATAATTCTTTTACTTTCCTCTTCTACCCCTCTTTTGGAGGTATCTATTACAGAGGCTATACATACTTGAGGTATTTGGTTCTAAGTTCTGAGGTTTCAGACATCCAAATTCTTGAGCCCCTATTGTGTGCCAAATTAGTAAGATGGGCCAGAGAGCTCAAACAGGAACAAGGCTAGATCCTGCTGTTTAGAATCTTAATCTCACAGAAACAAAGATCAAAAAGGGCATCAAGACATCCTGGTTTTAAATCTACATCTGCCTGTGAGACCTCAATAACAAAAAACCGCAAAAGCACTTAAATCAAGGAACCCTGGGCTGTAGATCTGACACCACGGAGGAGCCACAGACGGGCGCACCACGCCTCTCTCTGCGATGCCAAAACAGTCAACTGGGTCCCACCACACTCCAACACAGCCAAGTGAGGGCAGGCCCAGGCTGAGTCATGTCTCTGTGTGCGAGTGTATACATAGGGTGTAGGGGCATAACCTGGGGTCTATCATTCCAGGCTCCTAATCCCTAGTTTACGTGGCAGCTAAAGCTCTATCAAAATAAGAGCAAGGCAGGGCTTGTGGTGAGACAAATTACAAGGAACTGCCCAGAACGTCAGGTTAGGGATTTCTCCCGTACAAGCACTCACTGACTCAGCACATACACTTGGCCAGGCCAGGGCCAGCCATGGCAGCTCCTCTTCCCCCTGCTAGCCTCAGGTGGGCTGGCCTTCTGGGGACACTGCTCATGCTGATATTTAGACACTCTAGAGTTCACCTCAAAGCTGAAATATGTTCACATGATAGGAAGGTGCTGCTTTCTCAGTGGTAGGTGGGGTAAACAACAAGCAAATGAGGAAGCTCTGAAACTAAAAGGGAATGCCAAGTGGTTCCTAAATAGCATTAAACCTTTCACATTTTGTGACGTGAAAACAATGTTTAAAATGTAGCACTCAGTAGACAACATGAAACAAAAACATAAGCTTTCCATATCAAACAGCCTATTTTCTATCAGGTCCATTTTGTTGATGGCCATGTACTATTTCTGGCAAACTAATTATCCACTCAGTCCCCTCTGGATTAATAAGCCTACATGAGCAGCTATGGACCTAGTGACACTGATAAAGCAATTCGAGAACAGGATGAAATTTTGCCTCATGTAATGTACCAAAGAGGAAATAACCAAACGAGCCCTCTTACCTGTGTCCACATGGCTTCAACTGTGTGTCTGCTACCTCGTCACAACACAGGGAGCAGCAGTTTTCCCGGATGCTGACTTGCTTCAACAGAGCAAGACGCCTATGCCTGCGGAGAGAACACACTCGTTTTGTCAACAACTTAATGGGTCCTGTTAATAGTGACATATTAAAACAAACAAACAAAAAATAAAACAACACTGTGCACATGTGAAGTATGCTATGTACCCCCAAAGTGGCGGTGAGGAAGGTTTTCGCAAAGGCTAGCTCATCTCAAGTTTACATCGATTTTCTCAAACAGGGAAGAGTGTGGTATGGTCATTCCTATTTTGTGGGGTAAGAAATGATTTGCACAGTAGACAGGCTCCAGCTTGTCTCTAGGCTGCCATGTTGAGACTTCTAGGTGGAATTTAAATAGCCTGACTCAGTTATTTTTTAAAAATCCAAATCATCTGCTGATCTTGAAAACAGACCTCTCCACGGCAGCTTCTGTCCACCTCTTAGAGACCCACAAATAGACTGAGGAACCAATCCAAAATTGTTTCCACAAATGACCTAGCTGCCGACCATTTCCCTGCCTGGCCCTGCAAGTCTCCCTGCTGGTAACATCGGGAGGCACCTTGGTCATGGACTCTGATCATGATTCTTACTTTCAAATAAACATACTCTGATTATAATCAGCGTATTTCTCAGTCGTCAACACAGAATAAGCAGAATGAGGAGTCAAATTCAAGTCTTCTGGTTCTAAGTCTGATTTTTCTTCAATTTTTACCAGCAAATGTTAACCATTAAAGTCACACATTTTGGAGAGTGTGATGAAAAGATAGAGCTTTTCCTGGGAAAAATGCACACACAAAGTTTTCTATAATTTCAAAGTGCTCCACAGTAGACTCTTTAGTTCAGACACCTCAGGTCATACTCCTTTTGTGCAGCCTGAATGGGCAAGCAGACAGGCAGATCTGTTCTCCTGAAGATAGCGCCCGATGGAGGTGCCCGAGAAATATAAAAATATTCAGTCAATTCACTTAAGACCTTACTATGCACCAGGCACTATTCCAAGCCCTTGAGATTCAGCAGTGAAGAGAAGACAAAACAAATCTTGCTGCCGATGAACACCCCAGTGCGTGCGTGTGTTTGACTACGAGCCAGATAAAAAGTAAAATACATAATGTTAAATTATAATGTTAGCAGTATAAAAAAAAATAAAGTCCCCGTGTACATGAAAGACAGGGAGTTGTAATTTTTCAGTGTGATGGCCATGGAAGGTGCTCCGTAAGATGACATTTCAGTAAAGTCATGAAGGGCGTGAGACAGGAAGGATGTGAAGAGAGATCACTTGTAATTCTGCAGTTTACAACAAGAATTAAGCATACATTTGGCCTTTGTCTGCATTCCTGGCACAATTCCTAAAATCTCTGACCTTTCTAAAAGGATGAGAGTAATAACTGAGAGTAATAAAAGTCAACAGACTTAACTTAATGACTGACATTAAATTTGGGGAGTTCCTAGGTCACCTAAGGAAGGGGCTGGTCGCCAAGAAACCCATTCATGAGTAAATGTTGGAACTTGCAGTCTTTCCCCACTTCCAGGGAGGGGAGCGGAGCTGGAGATTGAGTTCATCACCAGTGATCATTTCTATGTAAAATCCAAAGGATGGGGTTCATGGAGCTTCGAGGTATCTATCTATCTGAGTGATACAAAATCAAGAAGAATCTGACGCACCACCATGTTTGCTGCAGTATTATCTACAGTAACAAAGATATGGAAGCCACCTAAGTGCCCAGTGACAGCAGGACAAAGACAGGTACACAGTGGACTTCTCCTCAGTTAAAAGGAAAGATGAAATCTTGCCATTTGCAGCTAAATGCAAAGAACTTGAGGGGCCTACGTAAAGCAAAATTAGAAAGCTAAAAAACACTGGACAATATCCTCTTTATGTGTCATACAAGTTAAATGAATGGATGAAAGGATAAAATAAAACAGAAACAAACTCAGACACTGATAACTGAGTGTGAAACGGCGATGAGGGGAGGAGTGGAGGGGTTTAACGGATGATGGTATCTTTTTAACCCTCTCTGTTTCAGAAAGTAAGAACAAAGGGCTTCGGGCAGGTGAGCACACGGAGCACGGTCTCTGCCCGCTTCCTGCCATCTGGCTGGCGTGCGCGGCCCTTCCCCTGGCTTCTCCTCAGGGATACCACCTTTTACTACCGTGGCGATGCACAGGAACCCTATTTATATGAGGTCTTAGGCACGCAGAGTCGACAAGGAATAAACCTACCATTTCCTGCGGGAAATGATGTTCTTCCCTGACCCAGGGGAAGGAAGGTGTTTCCTTGCGACCAGCACCCGCTCAGCCAGTGCGAGAATGCACCAAACCAACCAATGAGAAACCAGTGCACGTCACACTCCCATCTCCTCCAATGAATCCTCTGGTTGTGAAGGCCTCTCTGGGGCCTCCCATGTGGCCTAGGGGTTAATTCTCAGTGCTACTACCTGGAAGGCCTTCCCCTGGCAAAGCCCTGCGTGGATCCTGAGCCACCCAGGGAGTGACCCACAGGGCACAGCAGACTCCTGTTTGGCCCACTGCGCCCCTGTGCTGTGTATTTCAGTAGATCCACCTGCTCTTCTCCTCACTGCCTCGGGGGACCCCTCCGACTCCCTGCACTTCTTCTGGTCTGTACCCAGTTCTTCAACTCAAAAATAAATAAAATAAAAATCTTAACAAAACAAACCCAAACCTAAAAGCTTACTCTGAGTTGGCAGAGGCTTTAGGAAGGGCAGCAAGTTGGAAGGGGCTGCACTTCCCAAATTAGGTAATAAAACTATTCTGTTGGTGAAATAACTGGGTCCTTTTGGCTTAAGTCAATGTAATAAACTGGCAAACTAGTCATTTGTTAAGTCCTGGGTCCTCTGAGGTGCTCTAGCAAATGAAGCGAACCCAAAGAGGGGTTTTGGAGAACCTCCAATTTACAGGCAGTCACCCAGACACACGTAACAGCGCCGACCTAAAGTGGCCCTGACACCTCTCTTGTGGGTCTGATGACACTTCCTGGCAGACAGTGTCAGAGTTGAGCCCGCTGCTCCATGGTGTTGGAAAAGAAACATCCCGGCAGCAGGTGTGACTCCAGGAACAGCTTGCTAGTGCAAGGACCTCAAAGCTACAACAGACCTGCACATCTCAGGAGCGTGAACAAACGGGAAGCGGACAGGAGACAAGCTCAGAGAAGCAATGCAGCGAGGTGAGGCCAAACCTTGTAGGGTTTCACTGTCAGAATCTAAACTTTTGTGTTACATGAAACAGGAAGTCATTAGTCTTTTGAGCAAAAAATACAAAGTCTAACGACAAACCACTCTGAAGGAATGCTATGCTAGAGACTGAAAGGGCGCAGGTAGGATGGAAACTAGTCAAGGCGGAGCAGAAACCACCCAGGCAGGAAATGACGGAGACCGGACCAGGGCGGGCACAGTGAGGGTGGCAGGGACAGCTGGATTGGGAAACGCTCTTACAGAACAGCCCACAGGACTGGCCGAGGGACGGGCTGTGGGAAGACGGAACGTAAGGTGTCGGTGTTGCAGATACGCTCGTTTAAAGCCAGGACTGAGAACGCTAACAGGGAAATGAACGGAGGCGAGGGAGGGAGGCCATAAAAGCAGCTATGAGCAGATGACTACTACAGCTGACAGGTGAGTCCAGGACACTGCACTGTGCGTGTCCTCCCTGATGTGTGTATCTGACACTTTCCGTCACAGAACAAAGGAGACAAAAACTAATGAGTGGAAAGAGAATTAGGAAGTATGAGTATGCACAATGTAGAATAACTGTAAAATCTGAGGTAGTAACAGGGCTAAGATTTCTTATCCTGAAGCCAGAAAGATACATTCTGCCAACAAGTAAGACATTGCTTTTGGAATACATGCTGAAAAGACTAGTGGCTTAGAAAATGGTGTTAATTAGGCATGTCAACGCTTTTGCCAGTCTGTAACTAAGTGCAACAGGAATGTAAAGGGGGTGGGAGGGAAAGGTGCCAGGAGGGCGGATGTGAAGCTGCTCAGTTAGGCCGCAGAGACAACTCTCCCTGGTGTTGCTCTCAGAGACTAGACTCCGGAGCGGCAAGCACTGCACCAGCTGGAAGCCTGCTGCTTGTATTTGGGGCAAGCTGGACTCAGAGCTGAACTGATGTGGTACAGAGGGCAGGCAGAAGTTGCCCATAAAAGGACTTTCCAATGTTGAGGCTACTGCTGTCTGACTTTTGGGAAGTTAAAATCCACACTGGTCGTTAACTCAAGGCTCAAGCCGTTTTCACTAAAGCCAGTCTCCAGGGGAGCGCTTAGGTAGACTGCTTGTAACTTCCAGCGTGTATGAGTCATATCCAAGAAGACAGGCTACATAAAGTAATGGGATATGACAGATGAAAGAGGTGCTACCCCAGACTTGCACCAACAGGAACTTCAAGTCCAGAGTTTCTGTCAGCATGAAGACAAGCTGAAGGGAAGCTCTAGGGATGAACCTCAGCTCCCTGACCTGGGCGACAGTGGCTCTCTATTCCTGGATATTAGGGAGATCTGGTGTTGCAGGGACTGCTACTGTTACCATGTGGTATTTTCCAGCTCACATGGAAACCACCAAGGGACTCTCAAGGCTTCAGTTACCAAAGTCCAAAGTGAGCCAGAGCCCAGAAATGCTGCTCACAGACCTGTGTTCGGAGCCCAACAGAAGCTGGGGTTACGTTATGCACCTTCCGGCATAATGTCCCCGCTATGGCATATCCATGGTTGCAGAGCGACTCCCTCACTGACAGAATGTAGGTAGCTTTAGAGGCAGGAATGCCCTCCCTCCTACAGACCCTGGAAGTTGGTCTGTTAAAAAAACGATACATTTTGGTGCATAGGATCTCATACCATCTCAAAGTGAAACAAGGTTCAAATTGAAGTTATTACCAAGAAGAGCTGGAGTCCTCCCCTCCTTAAGGAACAGAACACACTTAGGTCATAAGAAAGAAAAGCAGGCACTCATCCACTGAGAGAGCTAATGCCAATGACAGTTTTTGGCAAATGAGGGCTGTGAAATTTTTACCCAAGATGGCATTGACTGTCTTAATGGCATCTTTGCCACATAGCTAATGCCTAAGAAGTAGTGGGCTTCGATAAATGAAAATATGTTAAAAGATGCACAAAAAAAAAAAAAAAAGAAAGAAAAGAAAAAGAAAAGATGCACTTGATTCACACTTGATTCCCTAATATTTAGGATTTTTACACGGACAGTCAAATGAAGTTACTTTTTTTGGTGTGGACATTTGTTATATTACCCAAATTTGATACCAATGTTATACACCATTTTAGCTCATAAAAATTATTGGAAATACTCTTGTATTTGGTTTCTGTGACATTTTAAAAAGAATGAAGATATCCATTACCTAACGATTTGGTGGAGATTCCCTGTGAAGCCATCTGGCACTGATGTTTTTGTGGAATATGGCTTTAAAATTTTTTCCAATTAATTTTATAGCAATAATTGGTTTATTTCTTTTTTAGGTTCTGTTTTAGAAACTTATTTTCCTAGGATGGCATCTATTTTACTTAAGTTTTCAAAACCACTTACTAAAGTTGAAAACAGTCTTTTAGAAATTGCTTTAATTCCTTGCGAGAATCATGTGCCACCCTGTAGCTAGCTTCAGCTGATTCCTTACCTCGGCAAAATGATTTTCTCGTCAGCGGTTAGGAAGGCGTAGTCATTAAAAGTGCTAAATTTCAGAGATGGTGGATATTTGAATGGTTTTGCTCCAAAATTGAACTCACATTGTTGATATGACATGAAACTAGCTGCAGCAAAAAATCCAGATCTAGAGAAAATAGTACAAAGACCAGTTAAAACAAAACTAAAGCTAGGATATGAAGTGGTTTTCAGAAAGCTGGGAAGAACTGGAGCCTTGCAGGCCGGCAGGGTGAGAGTCTGCTTACTGATCCAGACGGGCCTGTGACCCAGAGAATATCCCACCCTTATCTGCCTCTATCAGAGTCTGTCTGGATGGGTCCCTGATTACTTGAAATGAAGTGATTTCTCCTCACTCTGACTACAGAAAGGGCCATCTTTTTGGGAGAGAAGTAACCCCATGCACCTACTCCAACGCTGGACAGGGAAGTACTTACACAGTAGATGAAAAGACTTGCTTCTCAGGAGGCAGCTGGTTGCCATTTAAAAAGAAGATCATTTGCTTTTCATTCAAGTCTAACAGAAACCCCACTGTATCACCTAGAGGACAAAGTGAAACACTGTTAGGGTGAGGGGACTACGACTAGGTTCTGAAGCGGTGCCCAGGTTCCCACGTAACTCAATTAGGTCTGCACACAGCCATGCATTCAACACATTCACCTTTCTGGCTTCTGCGGTGGATCTGACCCTTAGACACCAATGTTTTAATGTAGCATTAAGAAGAAAATGATGCCAATTAATTTGAAACACTTTTTGATTTAAAAGATTTAAGTCTGTGGGGGAAATGTGCACTCTGGAAATAGGGTAAAAATAAAAATCATGTATTTCTTTGTCTCCTTGGGCAGATTTAAAGCTCCTGAGATAGATTACAATTGCCCAAAGACATGTTTTAAAAAAAACATTCATTTTCCCTTACCAACTCTTTGCTTTTTAAACTGTCAAAGATAAGCATATAAAAATTACACAACGAAGAGAGGAAAAATGGGTCGTCAATGATGATGGTGAGCAATCTGGCAACATATATAGCAAAGTCTTAAAATTCTGTATTCTCCTTGCCAGGGAAGTTTTACTTTTTAAAAATACGTAATAATTTTAAAAGGCAGAAATATAACTGTTCAATCTTAAGGCATGGACTAATATAGTACAATTCTACAATGCACTATTAAAAAAATTTTTAAAATAATGATATTCAATAACCTGCAAAGCTGTTCAAAGTATATTAATTATAACAGCATAAAAAATATACACACTAAATTTTAAGTGTTTAAAAAAACCTCTCAAGTTGGAGGAATTACGAGGGATTTTATTATTTATTTTGTTTGCCAAACTTTCTTGTATATGATTTCAATAATCTTTCTAAAACAATTTGAAAAACTAAAGAGATAATCTTTTCATTCAGTACCTTTATCTTATGTTCTTTTAAATTAAGAAGTTTTATGTTCCTTTAAGAACCTGCAAGTCACTAAAATGAGGGTAGATACTGACTTTTCAGGTTTTTCTTTTCCATACATACCATCAATTTTATTACTAAGTGGACCTGTTTCCTTACAGTGGTAGCCAAGTTCCTGTTCTCTTAAGACACTTAAAAACTCAGTTTATAGCCACGGTGATCAGGTGGGGACACGAAATGCAGAGAGAGCTGCTTGAAGGGGTAGAGCTATCGCCCCTATTTATCACCTATGCTGGTGACAAGCTCTTTCCAGAGCGTCTACCTCCCCCATATGACCTTACATCCTCGCAGGGAGATCACCTGAGAGCAGCACACTCCAGTGCAGCGGTGCCATGACAGGGAAGCCTTCTTTTCCTGTATTTACTTGGGAGGAACCATAAATCCTTCAGTCTATGAGTTTGACAAACCAACAGCATGGTTCTAACTTTGCCACCTCAGTCTTTATTTAATAAATGTTTTGATGAGTCAGTGGATACTGCACAATGACATGGAACAACACTGAATGAGGCAAGCTGTCTCTAGGACATATTCCAGTGAAAAAGCCACCTTTGGGAGTCCTGGTAGCCTGTCTCCTCTAGCGTCTGAGCCTGATGTGTGGAGACTGAAGGCAGGCAGACATGCTCAGGGCTTGGGAAGTACTCAAATCATCCTTGAAAGCTGCTCAGCGGGGCCAAGAATATGGCCACTGAAGAGGCCAGTACCGGCTGCACAGCCATCTGCTGTCTGAAAATATCCTCATTTTATTGGCATTACAATTTTAATGTTCTCGCTATCTCCATCGCCGCTTTGATTCAAAACATGTGGCCAGAGAGGACACTAGAATTCATATTAACTCTAAGATTATCTATTTCCCGGTAAATGAAGAATTTCATAGTCTGAAATGATTTTATAAAGGAAATGATTTCACTAGAGGTGAACTCATCAGGGGGATACCATTCACATCCATGGTAGGAGATAGAAGGGCTATTATATTTCTTCACATTACAATATTTTAAGGCCTAATGTAACAGATGTTTCATCACAACCAGATGTGTTAAGCTAGTCAATAAACCAGTGAAGAGCGGGCCAGGTACCTTCTTTCCAGCACGGGTGTAGGTGAGGCTTACTTCTGGCGTTATACCAAATCAGCTGTCGGCAGCCGTCATAAGCACAGGAGTATTCATCGTCCCCGATGCCGTAACCTTCCTGGAGGAGAAAGGGCCCAGAGATTAGTAAGCCTGGCTGAGCTTGGGGAAAGAGAATGTGCCCTTTATAACCATTAACCTGGTGGTTAGAATTTTAAGCTGAAGGAAGAGAGAACGTATTGTCCTTGGAACAGCAAAATTCGGACCTACGTGCCTGGTTCCTAGTGCACAGGTACTGACACTTCAACAAATATTTGCAAAGTTTTACATTTGTTAGTTTATTTCATTCTCAACAAGCCCTTGAGGTTGTGCCATTATACTCCGTTTGAGAAGACATAAAGGCTCAGGTCAACCAACTTGCTCAGGGACACATTACTACAACAGTGCAGCTTGGACCTTGGAATCAGATGGTGCCAAATTCCCATGAGCTTTCCACTTCGCCGCAGCTGGGCAAACAGGTCTCCTGCCTGTAGGAGACTTCAGGACCCCCAAGGCTCAGAGACTTCTAAACTGGAGACAGAGCCGTACCTGTTCTGAGACAGCTCAGTTCTGAGATCAGCTCAATTTGAGATCAGCTCAATTTGAGCATCTTGGCAGTCTTTTTTTTTTTTTTTAAACTATCTTTTAATTATTTGACAATTATTTTATTGTTAAAAGAGCAGGTGAGTTCTTAAGAGATTATTTTGAGTGCTGATAACAAAACAGAAGTTGAGGAAACATGTAAATCAGGTAACAGCAATATTTAAGGATCAGTGATAAAAGGCTGTAGTGCAAAAAGATACTGGAAATGCGGGCTAAATCCAAGTAAGACCTCAGGTGCTGGTGTCTTCATTCTACAGAGTAAATGGGATGAGGAGACAGGAGGGTAAAAGGCTCCAGTATATTCCTCAGTTACGGGGGCTGCTGTGTGCTAAATTCTTGGTCTACAACACATTAAATTTGGATGAGTGGTCTTCAAAGTGAGGGTTCTGAATTAGCTATTCTGAATACACTTCTTGGATTGTTCAAGAGCTAAACGAACTTGCATCCAACTGCGTGTGAGCAAAGAAACTCACTGGCCTACTAGAAAGAATACCTGGCTGCTCCTTTCAAAGACTGAAGGAGTAAGTATTTTATTGGTGCTGGAGCACAAGAAAAGACACGCAATTCTTTCATACATTGACTTTCTAATGTCTAAGGAAGTCCTTGACAGACACTTGAAAGAAACTCCTAGAAGCTTCTTAGTGACCATGAGTTGGGGAAGAGCAGGCTTAGCCCGAGAAGTGTTACATGTGTTTCACAGGGTGGCACTGTGGGACAGGAGGGACTCTCACCCTTTTAACCACAGGTGGGTTTCTCCAGACAAAGTAGGTGCCTCCGCCAAATGGATGCACTTTAGAAGCCTTTAAAAAAGGGTCTGGCGCTTCCATCCTCCTTAAGCCTGACGGTATTCCCAGTACAACGATTCCCTCCACTGGCAGGACAAACAAGTGTGAGTACAGGCTAGCTGGCGCGACCTGGGGGCAACTGTTCTGGTTTACCTGTTTCAGATCATGTGTATTTTAGTAGAGACACATTACTAAAGCCAGACAAAAGAAAGCTGATCCATCGCTTGTCATGCAGGGAGTGTTTTGAGCCCTCTGCCCATGCTGTGGACACTGCCCTTTCGCTCCTGGACAGCAGTCTTTCCGCTCAACTTCTGGCTGTGGTACCTGTCTCTCGTCCCTCCCTCTGCTGTCACCTCAGAACCTGTCCAGTTCCCAAGCCCTCCACAGTGTGCAGCTGCCATGAGGCTCCTGCTCCCCTCCCCTTCTCTGGAATACAGTCCTTTTCCCCAGGGCACGGGCTCGGCAGGGAAGGAGCACGGTCTGCCCTGAATGGGGCTGGTGCTCTTTTCCAGCAAGTAAGTGAGAGGCTTATCTTGAGGTAGATGCTCATGGAAAGCAAAAGCAAGTCAGAGAAGTGAAAATGTCCTCCAGGACTTGCTCTTTCCAATACTCCCCCCCACCCCATGACCATGTACAACTCAATTAATTAGATACACAACACAAACCGTGCAGGTGACCTGAACAAGGACAGTCCTCAGGCCTTTCATCTGAGTGATCTATTTCTCTCCTTATGATTTTAAGCCTTTAATTTTTAAAAATTGTAATGATTTTAAATTCATTTATTTAGACATGTTTAAGATCTATTTCTAAGCCCAGCACTTGGGTCAGCTTTTTGAAACTGAAACCCAAGCAATAAGAATTAAAGCAATAGACACTATAGATAGAATTCAAATTGCTAGAAGCTGGGTGTGTCCTAGGAATGACTGATTCTATAAAACCATACCCTGTCTGTGTAAGGCAGAGAGATTAAGGATCACCAGAACAATGTCTACTTGAAGTATAAGGATGACATTCTTAAAATCCTACATCTGGAAAAAGATATCAGACTTCATCAGTTTCTAATCAGTACTTGGATCAGAATAAAGTGCTTTGTTTGTGGTTTTTAAAGAAATAAAAATCAATAGCCTAATCAAGCAAATCGAAGTGTAGGAAAGCAATATTTTAAGCTTCTAAATTTGAAGAACCAAAGTTTTTATAACTATAACGGCAGAAATTACAGTTTCACCCACCAGTTAAAATGGCTGTTAAAAAAAATACCAAATTCAGTTCCCAAAAATTATACCCAGACTTGTAAGTAAGTTTGCTGCCAAAGTAGGAGACAAATTTTACATAAAAACTTCCTCCCTAGAAGATCCAATGTTTCTTCTGGTTCTGGGATAATTTTTTACTTCCAAGTGAGGAAAGTAGCTAACTTTCTGAGATTCATTCTATTTTCAAAGGCAAAAAACTACTACTATAGAGTAGGAACAGGCTCAAGTCCAGTTCTAGCTTCTGCATGTTTTCGGTCTCAGCTTCCTCCTCTGTGCAATGGAAACTGACTGCAGGAGATGTGGGCATCCGATCATCAGCTCTAAAGTAAAAGTGTGCTGGAAATTAAGCTATTTTTAATTCCTACCAAATAATCTTCAGGACATCATCTGGGGTGGGCCGTCAGTGTAATGGGTATCATCTGCTTTAACTCAGCACACAAGTTGGGACCTTAGAGGTAAATGGCACCGTGCTCTAGGCTGACTCTGCCACAGGCGTGTCCAACAGAGCCCCATGCCTCCAGGTTTTAAGTGCTGCCGTAGGGTAGGACCAACATGAGGGAGGTTTCCAACTCAGGCGAGGCAGACTAGGGTCCAGTTTTCTGCCCTAGGCAAGACTCCAAACCCGACTTCTTCACTGGCCCTCTTCCTCCAGTCTGTCTCTCCCCAGCAAGGAGTTTAGCAAAATGCCATGCAAAATTCCTGGATGTTACACAGCTGTGCTGAAAGGGCCTTCCAGAGACTGCGCTCAGGGCAGGCAAGTTTGGTTTGGTTCCAGCCATCTCCAGGACCTCATATATGGTATGGGCGGCTACTGTTTTGATTAACCAAATGCTTCAGTGATCTTTTCTCAGCTAAAAGGGCAAAAACCAAACACCCACAAAATATTCCTGTTCCAAACTAGATTCATTCCCAGCACCTCATACTTGGACTAACGGAGGAAAGCCACCCCATGTGGGCATTAGGACACAGAGTGGAAAAAAAAAAAAAATCCTGTCTCTAGGAAGAACAGGAACCCCAGCCCTCACTCTCAGGTCCTGGCAAGCCCCATCCTGCTTCCTCTAGTGAACTTATGCTCCCCTTTTGTTTTACAGTCTTCTTGAATAAATAATATTGAAAACAAATAAACCTACTAATTACAAGATAAAAGTCAAGTAAGTTAAGTCAACATTTAGTATTTATGAATGGAAATAGATCCATCACCAAGTTCTTAAAACGTGAACGCAAAGAGAGTCCCATCACTGGTCCCAACACATGGGCTGAGCCAGAGGTCGGCTGGAGCTGAAGCAGAGTCTACAAAGTCCGGGGCCCCTCCAACACTCAGGGAGAGAGTAATGAGAACTTAGATGTTGAAGGAGAAAAAAGGAGAGGAGCCATTTCACTTGTTTTTTCCTCTTTTTGAATCTGTTTAGCAAAACACTGTTTTGGCATCCAAGGGGTTTGGCATCCAAGAAACAATTATTGTGCAAACCTATCTGAAAAATAAGTATTTTCCACTTACTCACCCAAACAACTGCTGCTGACCCAATTTGCACAGTTCTCCAGGGTACTCACATGATTGAGAAATTTGCTGTCTCGCGTGGCCCAACCGATCTGCATGACACCAGAAGTGATCACTGTTACTTCGTAGTACCACACCCCAGCGTCCACACAAAAGGTGCAACGCACACTCTCAAAAGAGGAGGCGTCGCAACGAGCCTGGCAAACCAAAAGCATGACATCCACCGTCAGTGCCTGGACACGCCAAAACAACTGCTCAGAAAACCTATTTTCCTCATTAAAGCTCCTGGTAGACTGTTGTCTCCTCTTCTCTGCCTTCTCAGTGACCAAAAGTGCAACAGTGACTGAAGCACATCCTGTTTTATCATTTTATTTTCAGGAAAGGTGCCCTGCTCAGAAGACCTCAAAGATGATTGCAGCGGGAGTTAGTGAAGGCTACTGGCTTCCGCTCCAAGTGCTTACAAAGCTGTGCTCTCATATGAAACCCTTCACAAATGCATAAATATAGCCCTATCCTACTTCCTCTGATGAAGGGGGAGAGCGATATCGCAGGGTTTAAGATGAGGTACCTCAAAAAATAAAAACAGAAACCAACAGAAGGCATTCGGTAATCTTTAAGGCAAAGCTGTGTGCAGTCATGCTTCAAACAGTTCTTTAATCTTCACATGTCTAGTGCCTTAAGGTATCTGTCTGTCTGGAAGCAGCTCTTTCATCAGCCTTCACCACAAAATCAACAACATTTCTGACAGACATACAGGGAGAAGGGGAAGCAGTAGATCTAATACACTTGGCTATGCAAGGAAAAAAGGGAAGGGCCTCTCCTGGAAATAGCAGTTTTGTATTTTTAGCTTAATAATATAGTAGATTAGGGCCACCCTCATGGCACAAGGGTTCCAACTCAGCACTATAAAGCTATCTGCAGCCACTGCAGCACAAGCTGCCAGCACAAGCTCCCTGGCCAGGGAGCTGCCCCATAGGTGCAACAGACCTCTCCTGACCTGCCCGCTGTTCCCCTCAGCAGGGTATTTCAGTTACTCCACCACCTGTTTTGCTCCCCACTCTGTCTCTGGTGAATTCTCTCATCCCCTGCATCTCTGGCCTACACTCCAGCTCTTGTATGCATATGTAAATAAATCTTTTATTAAAAAAGTAGATTAAAAACAGATGTATAAAAGAGTAAATAATGTCTCAAACACCCTCAACAATCACCTCTACCTCTAACCACTAAGAGATAATAGATAATCTTCCATCTATTCTGCAAGAAATTGCTTTTGTTTAGAACGAGATATTCCCCGTCATCCATCTACGGAAGATTTACCTCCAAGCCATGAGGCGAGATCTTCAGGTACTCGCTGACGTCGTTGCTATTCAGCATGGCCCTAATGCTATTCAAGTCCACTTTCTCATAGGTGAGCTGCCTACCTTCTTTTAAAACTGCAAAAGAGAAAGCAGGCATGTTTCTAAGGCAGGCTGCTGTAGGGGAAAGTTACATCACGGCTCGCGGCCCTTGTAAAGAAGTGGAGATGCTCAAAAATGGCCGAACTGGTGGGGAGTCGTCCTAGAACCTTGGCTTTGTTGATACATGAACATATGCAGATTAAGCAAACAACTATTAGGAAAGGCAGGTCTGCTAAATGTATTCTTGCGTCCTCTCTATTCATTATTCTGCATATAACGAAACACACATGCACGTTCGGAATGATCCCTACATGGTTCCTCTACCCAGGCTGTGCACTGAGCACAGAGCCGAGTGGGAGGTCACACGGCCAGCTGTGCTCAGCACAGTGCTAACTATGGCGGGGTAAGGCCACAGTACGGTATCAGTATAGCTTTAGTCCCAGAAGCCCTTGAGGAAAAAAGAAGAAGAGGCAGGTGCAACCCTCAGGGTGTAATAAGGCTTGAATTCTCAAGAGCAAAAGTGGGACAGACAGAAGAGTAAAGAAAGGAAATTATGAGTAGAGGGACAGACCAAGATAGGAATGACATGACTGGTTTGCAGGAGTGTGAGGAGGTGACGGTGCTGGAAGAGCTGAGTCACGCCCTCTGGCTAGCGGCCAGATGGAGCAGGACTACGGGCACCGGCGCAGGTTTCTGAACACAAGGGGCTGAAGCTGGCGCATCCCATGCGACTCCTGAGCGCAGGGCTACCAGGATACTTTCCCGCCATAGCAGTTCCAACGCACTGTAGAGGAACTGACACGGACGCACGTCACTATTACAAAACGACCCTATAAAAGTAATGGGATTAGACGTGGAAGTAAAGGACAATAAAGGCCAAAAGGGCAACTCACAGAGATTGTCTAAGCTCCACTGGGCACAGAAACCAACTTGACGTTTTAGATAATCAGGGTCATCAGCCCAGGACTCCAAAGTGACGAGTCGGTCACTAATACTGGATTCAGAGATAGTCAGTTTATTTTCACCTGTTTGGAAAGATATAAACCTTGAATTAACATAAACCTTGAAAGTAGGATGAACCGCGGGGCAGGTTAGTGGTGACAGGGAGTGAGGAAAGGCAATGAGAGAATTTGAGGACCAGAATAATGATGTAGTCCAAGAGGTCTGATTATTTTCCAGAAAGCAGCAATCTCATCACTAACGGTTGGCTATAAAAGCAGGTAATCACGGTCACCAAGTTTTGATTCTTAAGTGAGAAAATCCTTGCCTTTGTTACACCTCTCTGGCCTTGAGGTGTCTACACAAACAAATCAGAACATATACATGCTTTGATCAGGTTCAAAGTGTAAGCTCATCTGGGAACTAAGAAAACTAAGATTTTAAGCAACCAATAGAGAAGATCATTAGTGCAAGAAGTCACTATACCTACTTGTCTGTGCAAACTTTTCCAGAGCGATAAGTGCAAAAAGCATGACTGTGGGGTGGGACTGTAACTTCTGAAAGACAACAAGAGATAAACAAAACAAAAAAATTACTCCCCTGCAGAGTGGTTATCAATTTTTTCTTCTTGCCCAACATGTGCTAGATTTGGAATAGTAACTACTGATTCAAGTCTTCAACTGCTACATGCTAACAGTAATGAAGAATCAAAACAGTCTCTGAAAACCTTAATTTATAGATATGGGAATTTCAAAAGATCTTGTTAATGCACTGTTATTGTACTTTGGATTCTGTTAAATAAAATGATGATTCTTACATTCATCTAGGCAATCAAACAGAAATCCAGAATTGGAGCTAAAAATGGTTTTATTCAGAGCCCTTCAGGGAACCAGTTCCAAAATGATAAAGAATGAAATTAACAATTAATAGCTTAGCTTTTAATCTGTGCTTAGCAAGGAATTCTATAAATGCTGACGGTAGTGGAAGACAGCCACAAGTGGGCTCTTTCAGTGACATTAAAATTCATGCTACGTGTGTTCACCTGTAAGGAGAGAAAGGCCTTTCTGCTAAACATCACGTTTTCTCACAGCCCTCCCTCCCCCCCATCACGCAAGGAGGCTTGGAGGCTGCGAGAGGGTGCCAGGATGCCAAATGAGCCCCACTCTCGTCCCTGGTGCCCGAGTGGGTTCTGTAAAAGCCATGTAATCACCACCCCTGCTGCACAGCCTGTTCAGCACCTTGCTTCTTGCTCGAGCTATTCTCAGTCCCTCCTTGACTTTGCAGGCCCTGACATCCATCCCTCCTGCCCCAACCTGGCGGTTCAGTTATCTCCTCCTGTCTCTAACACTGCCTTCTGGCCAAGGATTCTCTGTAACATGCTAGGAACACAGCTGTTTCGAGCTTCTGCCAGTGACATGCCCTTAGTCAAGAAACTCATTTTTTTCCTAATCTTATGATGTGACTCGCAGAGGTGCCACTTTCAGCAGGAAGTCCGTCTCCCACAACTCTCCTAGCTCGCATCACCTCTATGGCCCACCTCCCAATCACCTCCTCAAAGCTCTTAGGACATTTAGTCTGAAGGAAAAAAAGTTTTCCTTTCATAAAATGGAGGCCGTCTTGCCTGAGTAGTTCTGTCCCTTCAACTAATCAGTCAACTTCTTGGCTACTATGCTACCTGGTACTCCCTCATAGTGTTACATATTTTAAGCATAAATCATATAGGTAATGAAAAATAAGGTCAAAGTTTTGAATAAGGACAATATTCACTGGGCCTACAAAATTGACTTAAAAAAAAAACCAGTCGAGCCTGCTGACAGCACAGTCTCAATAAACTACAAATTTCACAGACAGTATATCAAAAATTCAATGACAGCAGGTTAAAGCACAGCACTGAGAATCTAAAAAAAAAATTCAATGACAACAGTTTGAAGAGCAGTATCAAGAGAGCAGGGCAGAAAGGAGTAAGAGGTTTCTAAATACTGGGAACTGGCCTCGGTTTCCTGGCTTGGAATACTGTGTAATTTTGTTTCTACCATGGAGCTCCCTACTGTCATTTGGCAGGCTCTAAGGATGTACACTAACAAGCCTATTACCACAGGCGCCTCTCATGACCAAACTGAAAACCAGACCAACTCAGCTGTTTTTGCGTAGAACGAAGCTTATCTGACCCTCATTTTTTTTAAACACAGGAGAGAACAGATAAACACTCAGGAAACACCTGCAAAATAAAACTTAAAACTAGTTCTACTCTCTCTGTGCCAGTGCGAAGCTGGCAGTTTTAGAAAAGCAGTTATACATGACTAAGAATAAGCCGTTTTGATGTGTCACTTACCAGACACTGTAGCAGGTATTCCAGTATTCCTGGGCTCAGCAAACCTATACTTGCAGGACCTAGACAAAGGCAACAAACACAGAGCCTTACTACATGCGTCATGTTACTTCAAGTCAAGAATTGCTAACAGAAAGTCGTGCTGCCAGAACCCTCCTGAGCGCTCTCACACACGATCTTGTCAAGGTTCCCCCTTGGAGGCAGGGTCAGCACTACTGCCACTGCCCCGCTGCGCGGCAGCAAGCCCAGAGTGACCGACCTGAAAAGCTGCTCGGCAGGTCTGAACGAGCACCGTGCGCCCTGATTTCTAATCTGGTGTTTTTGCCTCTACAGACGATGCAACTAGCTGCACTAGTCGCCTGTGCACTGATGTAAACGTTCCTAAAATGGGTGGTAAGAAGATCAATAGCTGCTGACCTTCCTTCTCAGGAGCTGCTCCAGCGTAAGGTTACTTCTTCCAGACTAGCATCTTCCCACTGTCTAGCTGGACTTTACAAGCACCTGAACGTCCACGTGTGCTACATGCTTACATATATGTCTATGTATAATCTTGGTTTGTTACAATGAATTTATGCTTTTCTCTTAATTTTAAAGTAAGTTAAGTAAAACTTGTTTTCAGTTTTGCTCTGAAAATCCTGTTACCGACACTGATTGCATTTACTCGGCCTTTTAAGCAATTTTTTTCCTCCTCCTCTTTTGTTTTTTCAAGACACTTCTTTCTGGTACAGAAGATATGATCAAAGACCTGCAACTTAATAGCTTAATTTTCCCTTTCAAGTCAAATAACTGAGGCTCTTCCCTTCTGGAGCTGCCTAGAGTTACCTGCAAGCTTCTCAGCCAAGCAGCCTAGCACCGCAGATGTGTTCCTGTGTTTAGCGGGATGTCCTGAGTCCTGGCAAGCTACTTCTCCACTTAAATTGAGAATTTCGGTTAATTTCTGGAGTGCATCCTAAAAACGAAAATGTGTTAAGTGGATCCGATAGATACACTACTTAGATATACCCCCCGCAAAGCTAATTCGTTTACAGTAGCTACATGATCAGGCACTAAATTAACTTGGAATGATCATACAAAAATGATCTGTATTTTATGACATTATTATTGATGGGAAATATTTTTTGATCAACCTAGAAAGTCTTACATGAGCTGTTAGATTTCACTTCATTGAAATATGAGCATTATCAAATATATGCTATCTCTTCTTAAAAGGTGTAAGCACCTTCAAATATCAGTATGATCAGTAACAGGATCTAGTGATGTTAAAGGAAAAAGCAATTAAAAAATATTTATTTTTAAAGGTTTATTTATTTGTGCATACAGAACTGGGGTACAGGCCAGAGGTGCAGGGGTGGTGAGAGGATTCACCAGAGACAGAGTGGGAGCAGAACAGGCAGATTGATGAAGTACACTGCTGAGGGGAGCAGAGGGCAGGTCAGGAGAGGTCTGTGATCACCTCCGGGGCAGGCGGGGATTGAACCCATACTGAAGTGGCCTTAGCTTCTTAGTGCTGTGCCACTAGAGAGGATCCAAAACTTTTTTTTTAACCAAGTAAGAACAAATCTCAATAGAGTTTTCAAGGCAAATTACAACAAAGGCCTTTTATAAGCCTGGGCAAAAGTCAATTCATCAATGACTAGGCCAAAGGTGCTTTCCTTTTGTCCATGTTTTACATGTAGGGTCCCACTGTCTGAGACTTAAATAGTCATATGAAGGAGTCAAAATCCAATTTAACAAAAAGATTCCATAGAATTTATGGATAAAGGCAATCAAAATCTGATACTTTTGTTTTCTGTAAGAGATAATCAAAGTTTCACCAATCTGTAAGTTGTTTGAAAAAGATTAAAGGGCATAATAGTATAATGGCTTTGAAAAATGTTTTTTAAATTTTTGTTATGAGGAAAATTAGAGAAAGATAAGAAAATCAGGCCAGCAACTGAACATTCTTTTCCAGTTTCCAACAAAGATCGCCACTTCAGATATAAATGCTTCCATTTTTAACATTAATTTTTTTTTAACTAATGCTTTATATTATTCTATCGACAGGAAAACAATGCAGCACTTTATTAGTAGTAAAGATCAGCTTACATAACAAAGTTAATACTGGATTAAATAGAACCCAAATAAAAAGGAAATGCATGACATCAAATGTCTTCCTGTACTCAAGCATACGTGTCAGCTTCATGAAAGATGAGCAATAACTTACTTTAGTGGGCAATGGACATTCATCTAGCAACAACGTTATAACAGCTGGTCCCAATGGATCTTCCAACGGAATAACTCTAATTAAAGACTGGACAACATCCAACCATCCTTCATCTAAGAGCAAATCAAGATTATATGAGGGGGTTGCTATTTAAAAAAATGTGAAAATACATAACTCGGCAACATCATACATGTTAAGATGACTACACATTAAAATAGCTTTAGTAGCTTTCAGGCAGCTAGTAGCTGGCGTGGACACAGCCATCAACTTTCAGTGATCACGGTAGTCAAATGATTACTTATTTGGTTAAAATCCAAGCTATGGTTCTGAGTTCTCAACTATGATTAAACTAGTTTTCAGTCTCTATTTACAATGGAGGATTTAACTGAGAAGGTTAAGTATCTGAAGCTACTGGCTCAATTTTCAGAATGACACTTTGAGAGACACAAAATTATCCTCACTGTTCTAGAAAATGTATGGTCAAACATCTGATTTAATACCAAAATGACTTTTCTGTTCATAATTCCAGTGAAATAAAACCATGACTATGATTTGCTGCCATATGTTTATAATGCACTGTACACTGTTCATTAATTATTACATGTATGCAGGAAAATTTCCATATATCAAGGGCTTTTTTCTATGCATGTGTACCAAATATTTTAGAATCCTTTATCTGGAAAAACAGTGCTCACATTTCTTCACAATCATTAGTACACTAGAAAGTATTTAGAAAAAAAAAATTTTTAAATACCTGTTTCTGCCATTTCATGCAATGTAATCATTGAGTAAGGAGGTTCCTGATCACTGAAAAACAAATATTGCAAGACATCAAACTTGAAGAAAGAAGAAATAACAATTCCAAATAAAAATTCAAGCAGGGAGTGTGCCCTGAAAGAGAAAGAAGAAATGAGCATGGAGAGAGACAGATGGAAGAGACAACTGGAGCTAAAATTGTAAATCAAGTACACACATGTGCTCATTTCCAGGGCCACTGCGATGGCCACCAAGAAAATGGGCAGAAAGAGGACACCATGTGGCATGGAATAAAAGCATAGGGCGAAACTGGAGAGAGACTTTCAATTTTACCTCTAAAAGTCCAATGTTACTGAGACAAGTCAGGAGATCAGTCTCTTCCTCATTCTCAGTAACACCAGAGGAGGAGATGAGAAGCTCCCTTGAGGACCCGAAGAAGCAAAGGCTGACATACACATCTTCATTTTACATTGTTCCCCAGGGAAATAGCACTATATGCTTACACTTCATAAAATGATATTAGAAGAAAACGAAACCAGATTAATTAAGGAGCAATGCAACCCTAGATGCTGCTCTAAGACGGTGCTAAATACCTTAATGCACAGTATCTCAAACTGTGGCCCAGGAATCCTAAGAGGATACTTTAAGGGAACACCAGCAATGAATGAAATCATTTCCGTCAAACAAAGATAACTCTGATTACTTAAGGATATACTCAGCATTTATTTGTTTACATTTTGTGGCTCTCTAACTATGGGGGAAAAAAAACAGCAAAATTTATTGTCTTTAGTGATTTAATCCTCAGGATTACCTTGTGATATGGGAATTACTAAATTAATTCCAGACACTCATCAGAGGCTGGCTGTTTGACAACTCCTGTAACCTTTAATAATGAGGAGAAATTCTATTTATTTTTTAGGAAAAATTCTTTTTTTTTTTTAAAGATTTATTTATTTATGCATACACAATTTGGGTACAGGTTTGAGGTGCAGAGGCGGTGAGAGGATTCACCAGAGACAGAGTGGGGAGCAAAACAGGAAGATTTACTGAAATCCACTGCTGAAGGGAGCAGTGGGTGGGTCAGGAAAGGTCTGCCTCACCCTGTGGGTCACCTCCCTGGCCGGAGATTGAACTCATGCTGCAGTGGCTGCAATTGCTTCAGTGTTGTGCTTTAACGCATTGTGCCACCAGGGAGGGCCCTTAGGCAAAATTCTTGTTTAAAAAACTTGTTTCAAAGGATATAGCTGACTATTACAAATATTTCTGGAGAGCAATCTGGCATTAATAAAATTAAGCCTGAATATACCCAACAAAGCTAGAAAAACTACTAAACAGGTAACAGATACATGGGAGGCTATTTGCTGCAGTGCTGTTTATAGAACAATCTGGAAGCAACCTAAATGACAATCACCAATTATAGGATAAGAAATATATGCATAAATCAATCCTTTTCTTTTAAATAAAGAAAATACAGTACTTTCAAACACACTAAGGAATACTTTGTAGCAGTCAGAAGCAATTGTAGCTTTACATATAGTTATCAGAGATCTCAAAAAGAATGTTGAGAGAAGCTAAAAAAGATTTTAAAAATTGGCACAATTGATATGGTTATATAAGTCACATACAAAACACTATATATAAATTTTCTATACAGACATAAACAGTGCAGGTAAACTGGCAGAACATACCTTCAATTCACCAGAACGGTTACCTACTGATACTTGGAGGTGGGTAGCAAAGAGGACAGAGGTCATGGAAGGAAAAATAATAAAAGATAACAGGGTTGTTAAGGAATATGAGCACCTCAATTCTAGATACACTTAAAGGACACTAGTACCTCTATATCCAAAATCCAAGACAAATTTCTTTGTGGAACAGATATGAAACAGAAACTTCTGGTGGAGGCAGGTACTGACATCATAGGACTGTGGGTCAGGGGTTAGATGGAGGGACCAGGTCCTCTCTGCTTCCAGCAGAGGTGATGGGGACCATAGCCCCACCTGTGCAAGGGATGGAGCAAACTCACTACGTAAAGCTGGTTCAGGAGAATGGAGCTGAAAAAGTTATGAATGACAATGTGAGTAGTAAGTGCTATAAAGCTACAAATCCACAGTGACAGTAAAGAGCAGAGAACGCCAAACAGGCTTCTTAGTGTGGGGTGGGGACTCAGAACCACAATTTTAGGTTCAGTTACAGACTGAAAGTCCCTGGGACACAGATGGAGATAACACAAGCAAGCAACGCATACATACAGGGGTGGGCAGGGTAAGAGTGACAGAGAATTCACATACAGGAAACTTTTATCTAGAGAAGACCACAAATTAAAGTTCCAAAACATGAGAATGAGTAACATTCCATACAATCTAAAGAGAAAGTGACTCAAAACTGTGCATATGGCAGAACCTCAAGATGATTTAAAAATAAGCATATTTAAAGGATATACTTTAAAAGTAAAGGAAATTAAGAAACAAAAATATATTAATCAAGAGGGAAATTTAAAAATTTGAAATCCCAGGAATGAAATATAGTTGCTGAAACAAAACTCTCAACAGAAGATGTAACTCCAGATGAGCTACAGTTAAGAGAAAATTAAACTACGAGAATGTGCTGGGAAATCACTCAGAACTCTGCAGAAGCGATATTTAAAAAGACAATGACAGAAATGTCCAGAACTGAAGAATATGATTTCCGACTTAAAAACATACAGAATTAAAATCAGACAAAGCAACAAAAAATAACAGCAAAATACTTGTTTACATGTGGCGGAGGGGCATAAAACTGGATCTAGAGGCTCTGGAAATGGGCACTTTATTTCAAACAGACATGGAAAACTAGAAACCAACACCATAAAACCCTTTCCTATAGCAACTCTCTTATCAGGGTATTAGAACTGCTCTCCTCTCAGAACAACAGCCTCCTTTCCTAAGTAAACAAGCGGAGAGATGAGAACAACAAATACAGATAATTTTACCACTGTGATATCTACATATGTCGTTTTACGTATATTTTTGCAAAGCTCATCTGTGCTAATTATACCATTCATATTTGGTTTCAACCGTCTTAAAAACTTTAACAGTTTCTAAAAAGTCAGCTATATAATGGTGTTTATCAACTGTCTGATCCCTGCTTTGCCATTATATTCTTCGGCATGTCCTTCATATTTTCTCTATGTTAGTTTCCATTCTCAGGAGTTACAAATATAATTTAGTACAAAAAGGTAAAAGTCACTGTTACTGAAATGTACAACACATGCCTCATGTAAGTAAATTATGTGCTTTATCAACAAGCTCACGTTATCATCTATAATAGTTTTTTTCTTAAGTTTGGAAATAAAACTCATACTGTGTACCTCTACTTTCTTAATCAGTCTCTTTTAAAATCAGGCACGGTATACCCTGGGTCTCTCTTTCCAGTGGGCTTACATAACATTGTGGCTTACTTCCTTATTTGGGAAGGATAAGTTTTCATTAGAATTTTACAGCACATTTTACATGTCACTGGGAAGAAACTTTATAACAGCTTCTAGTCCCTTCTCCGAGCTGGGAGGGGAGGGGTGGGTGTGCAAATGGTGTAAATTTGTAATGGAGATTTCTCCTGCACACATGGTAAGTGTAGATTGATTCAGACAGGGGAACTGCAAAGGCTGGTCTACGTAAACCCAGGAGCGTCTTTCGGAACTGCTCACTTCTGGAACAGGTGACGCACAGTCTGAACAAGAACTGCCTTCCCTTTATGTTCTGCGAGGGAAAAAAATTCACCTTAGAATAACATGTGCAGACATACCTTATTTTTACACTATAACTTCTGAGGAGTTAAATCTGCTTTTTTTTTTTAAATAAAAGTAATTAATAAATATTTATTTAAATACTTTATTCACACAATATGAAGTTAAAAAAAAAACCAGAAATAACTTTTAAGAAATCACCTAGTAAATAATTATACTAATAACTATTATCTCAGCTCCTGTAGAAAGCTGTTCCTTCTCTGTTACATACGAGGAGCCAGAGACTTGGAGCAGCAGCTTACGCATACGGTCATGCAGCTGGCTAAGGGCTGGGCAAGAATGTGAACTTTGGTCCATCATGGTTCTAAACTTTTATCCCTAACTACTGAACTGCACAGTTAAGTTAAAATATCTTTTCCAGCTTGAGCCATGTCCACTAATTTCCCTGTTCTTCAATCCGGAGTCCCATACTCAGAACTGGACAAAGCAGGGTAAACACAAAACAGGTACACAGGCGTGCCCTGCAGTTTCAATTTACAAGTTTGCCAAATGGATCCAAGAGGGCCACAGCAGGGGTATAAAAGAGGAAGGAGAACGAAAACTCTCCTTGATCCTTGTCCTTATGTTGCCAACAGAAGCTGCGCACAGCCCTGCTCCTGGGGAAACATCACACCTTGCCCTGGGCTCCGGGGAGCAGACAGGCGAGCAAGGTAAGGGGGAGTCACTGCTGAAGGGACAACAGGCAGCATACTCGCTCCACAGTTACTGAACTCCCTACTAAGGCCAGAGCTTTAATTAGTGTTTCTGCTACAAGAGTTCAGACATTTCTAGACAGTATACACTAGCAAGTAAAAACACCAAACTTTACAATGTACTTGACCGCAAGAGGAGGAATAAACTGTTGTCCGTCGCCCTGTGACAAAGGCTGGGCAAATACATCCCCACGCGCTGAAGGCGCTCTGAGTTAGTTTCGGGCAGAACACTTCCGGTCACACAGGAGGCGACCGGAGTCAGATACTTACTTATCTACAAGAGTCCGTATGACTGCCAGAGTGTCCAGCACTAGCCCATCTACATTTTGTTTCTTTCTCCTCGGTTCGTGTGGTCCTCGGCCCCTTCTTGGTGGCCGAACAGGGTCCCGGGGTTGGCTCCTCGTGTCAGCGGCAGGCACCGCACTGCTCTCAGCCTGTTGCTGCTGGGTGTCAGCGCTGTCTTCTGCTCCGCTGTCATCTCGGCAGATACAGGAATTCCCCATGGTGCCCGTGGCACCTCTAGTTCCCAGGAAGTGGGCAATGTGTTCCTCAAGAGTCAATAGCAGACCCTGGCCAAGGCTTCTGCTTGCTAAGAACACAGCCCAACCAAAGACAATCATTTAGATAGTTTTCAGTTTTCCAAGTTCTGTCTTCATAATCCAGAGCTGAGGAACTTGCATCCTATTTGTTTCTAATGAATGAATACCAAAGAAAGTGGCTGAGCTGATTTCCGACATTATCAGCTTCAGGAAATCCTGGTCATCCAGTGGCAGTTCTAAAAGAACAAGAGAAAAGAGAAATGAATCAAAGATTCTTGATCACTGAATTATTCAAATTTTCTTAGTTTGATTTTATAGGATCACAATGGAGGTATCTTTGCACGAACTAATCAACAATCAATAATTCTTCTTCACCACAAAATCACACCCTTGTATACCACAGGCACTACCACTGGCGTTTAAAAAAGCCAAAACAGCTGTATAGTTCTATTTATACAGGAATACATTGGAAGCAGCATGCAATTTTTTCAAGGGCTCCTTCTCTAGATGAGAAATGAACTGTCACCTTTCTTAAATGTGTGCCAAAAAAAAGTTTCAAATAAGATCTAATTACAGACTTTAGTTGATTTAAAAAAAAAAGAGCTATGATACAAATGTGATAGCACCGATCTGACAGCAAAAGAAAAAGGATGGCGTGTTCCACTTAAACTATCCAGACTTCATCGACTATTCCTACTGGAGGTTTTCTCGATAATTCACAAAGATTTCCTTTCCTTTTCTTTCTTTCTTTTTTTTTTAAAGATTTATTTATTTGTGCATACAGAACTGGGGTTCAGGCCAGAGGCTCAGGGGTGGCGAGAGGCTTCACCAGAGACAGAGTGGGGAGCAGAACAGGCAGATGTACGAAGTACACTGCTGAGGGGAGCAGCGGGCGGGTCAGGAGAGGTCTGCCGCGCCATGTGGTCACCTCGGGGCAGGTGGGAATCGAACTCATGCAGAAGTGGCTTTAGCTTCTTAGTGCTGTGCTTTAACCCGCTGCGCCACCAGGGAGGGCCACAAAGATTTTCTTTAAGGAAACAAGACTATTTTGGGAAAGGTGAATCTGTATCGCAAGGTTATAGTTTTGCAAGCTCAGAACCCTGCACACGTCTGTATAAAGGTGAGAATGAGGCCACACTGGTTCTCTACTGTCTGAAAATATGAAGTACCTTGCCCCAGTCCTGCACTGGCTCTGGAAGAATGAAGATGAACAAGAAGGAAAGGCCGAAAGGCCCTCTTTCCACAGTGTGCGCACCATCAGAAAACCTAATGATAGAACCGGTTCTTTATTAAGCCAAGAAAATCTGGTTAGGACTGGAAAGCAGCAAAGAGGTGGAAGCAGAGATGGTGGAGCAAAAAGTTAAACATCTTACCAAGACATAGCTACTAAGACCCATAAGGACTCATAAGGAATAGAGACTAGGGATTGTCTCTACTCAACATCTGGCTATTTGCAATCAACTCATATATTGAGTACTGGGTCAGGAACAGATAGAAATAAAAGGCGTAATTCTGTGAGATCAGAAACGAGAATATTTACTTCCATTACTTTGGACAGACTTGCTGCAAACTTTCAAATATTTGCTCAAGGGGAAAACAGAAAGAAAAGAGATGGATGGATGAAGTCTTTATGTAACTAAATTTAATCTAACAGTTTCTATTTCTAAGGACAGGGGAGGGGAGAGAAGGCAAAGACAGACATCATCTCCCTCAGACTAACAAGACAGCAATGGCTATGTCAAGTGATAATACCATGATGGTCTCTGTCACTCCGTACAGTCTGTCCGACTGCGTACAAAGTTTGGAGAGTGTACTAAAAAAGATGGAACTGAAGAGGAGGTAGGAGCGTGATATGCAGCTCAGCTGGAATTGGCTTTTTAACACAGAACACATTCTAATCCAGCCAAGAGCTGAAGTAATGCCATTCCCGTTACTGCAGGGACCAGGTATACAATTCCCTGAGAGGGGAGACAACGGCAAGATCATGACGCTTAAAAGGACAGAGACCAGAAATAACTCTTTTAAAGCGTCTCTGGTATAAGTTTCTACTGATCTTATAAATTAAGCTGGTTTCTAAGAAAGACCAAAAAGCACAGTTAAGAAGCGATGCCCTGACCTCACAGAAAGGTCACAAAGCAGGCACGGTAGGCACAATTCGAATGCGAAGAGGTAAAGAAGCCAAGGTTTCCTGGAAGCTCTGTCACTGGGAAGTAGCCCAGATTATATGCCACTACAGCACTTCTTTGAAATCCTCTAGTACTATATTTAAATTTTTTCCTCTTAATTAAAAAAAAATGTTTATTTTAAGACTTAACTGTAGCATATGTCTACAGAAGAGTAGAGTCTATTTTGTGCTCTACCATCACTCATTCCGTTCAAGAGCAAACCCTTGAAGCTTCAAAACAGGTATGTTTCCACACGTTTCCACACCTATGAGACACTTACAGATTTAAGTTTTTAACTTAACTAAAATGACACCATGAATAATTTCTGATTTGCTTTTTTCACTTAACACATCTTTCCATACCACTTGGATTACTGCATCCCACTTAAGGCTGGATCGAAATCCATATGCTGGATTCTTTTAGTTTCTTAACTACTATGGTATAAAAACCCGTGGAGATCTGGTAACAGTGGAAGAGTGGTCCTGGATCTGACACAGGGAACTCCACTTGGGAATGCTTCACCTCCTGGAGAGGTGTGCTCTGACTCCAAACTGCTTTCCACAGTGGTTCAATATTCCCAGGGCAGAAAGGAATTCCTCTGGCTTCTCTTACAATCCCGGATCCTTTCTCCATCATCAGAAAGACATTGAGATGGGCCAGATATGCAGATAGAGTGTCAATTCAACTAGACACAGTAAACTGGGGAAGGCTCGCCTGAAGGAGGGTCACCAGTCAGGTAATACAAATGACTGGGGCAATGATTTGAAAGTGTCAACCTGAGAGGAAGTTCAGAAAACAAAGACCTGAAGGGGTGAGAGAGGGAGACCACCTGAAGTTGCCTTCAAAGCCAGCACTTGTAAAGCTACTTGAAATAATTAACAATGGGAAAGCTTGAGGAAAGCAGGGGCTGACAACGAAGTTTGTTAGAGCTCAAATTTTTAAACTTTGATCGATCTAAATTTTTTTGCTAATGTTTATATAAACTGAATATACAACAACTAATTTATGCAGGGTTCCATTTAGTACAGTTTCCAAATAAACTAAAGATATGCAATATATAAAAGCATTTTAATAAATCTGACTAAATTTAGAGGTGAAAAGACAAAAACTAAGGTTTCCCCCACCCCCCTCAACCCAATTGAACTCAAATGTAGTTTGGGTTGATTTCTTCCGAAACAGTCATTTTCCTTAAATGACCCAGACAATGATGTCAACTGTAAAACTTGTCAAGAGAAGGAAATGGCATGAATAAAAGTTTTCAAATACTTTAAAACTATTTCCTTTTTCAAGGTCTATCTGTAAAGACCGGGTTTCGTGTTTAAGAGAAAGGGAGGATCTGGGAGGCATTTCAAAGGCAACATTCTGAAACATACCAGGAACACATAAGAGCTGTTGCCTTTAAACACTTCTGGAATGACTTTGCAGAGTACTCTTGAGAGCACACACATGAATAATGCCTATCTATAATCTTCCAAGTTTATTTAGCATTGAAAAATGCATAGTTTTTCATCTGGAAATGGCTGTTACTCATGACACTTTTCTCAGAGAAGCTGTCTCGTTGCAAAAGGCTTTACTGTGGTCCCGTTTCCAACGACCACTGTTTTACCGGGGACACAGGCCACAGGATCTGCAAGGGACCCCAGAGGCCACACTGCAGTGCACTGACTTTGCAGTCAGATGGAGTGGCACAGGTCCCAGTCCTGCAATGTTTACAACTATGCCACTCCTATTACTCTGGTTATTGACTTATTTTAAAACATGGAAATAGTTCTTACACCACCATACTACTAGGAGGAGTCAATGAAGTAGTGGCATGCAGAACACATTGTAGTGAGTGCCCAACGCTTAGGTTGAATCCAAAAATGCAAGATATTATTACAAAATGAGCACAAAGCTAATCAGAAGTTAACTAATCTGGGAGATGGGAACTCTGCAGTGAAACCCAAGTTAAGCACAGTAAAATAACTAGATTACTGGACCCTCGCTGGTGGCGCAGTGGGTTAAAGCACAGCGGGTTAAAGCACAGCACTAAGAAGCTAAGTCCACTTCAGCATGAGTCCGATCCCTACCCTGGAGGTGACCCACAGGGCACAGCAGACCTCTCCTGACCCACCTGCTGCTCCCCTCAGCAGAGTGCTTCATTGATCTGCCTGTTTTGCTCCCCACTCTGTCTCTGGTGAAGCCTCTCACCGCCCCTGCACCTCTGGCCTGTACCCCAGCTCTGTTAAGCATAAATAAAATCTTTTTTTTAAAAAAAAACTAGATTACCGAAGAAACTACTTAAAGATAAAGGTAACCACAGCTACAAAAGATAACTAAAGAACTCTTTTGTGGAACTTCTTTACTGTGTACTGAAATGATTTTTGCTTATCGAAGCTTTCAGGTAAAGAACCCCAAAGGACTTTTAGCTTAATTCTCCTAAAAGGCATTAGAATCACTTAAGTAACTTATTAAAAGGCAAATGTTGAGCCAGATTCAGACTTTCTAGGATGCAGCCCAAACAAGTGTTCACTTAAAGCCAGGTCTGGAAATCACTGACACAAAGCCTGGCACAGTAGGCGAGACCTGCTGGCTGGCAGAAGGGACAAAATGACACACTGGAATGATTCTTCTGAGGTTAAAAATGTTAATGTTTTCCAGAAAAATGGACCAAGACTATCTTTTGGAGAGGTCAGTCAAAAGAACCATTAGAATCTTCTTGTATCTATTAGCAACTGTATACAGTACATACCAACACAATGAAAAACATACTCTCCATATATATTTCCATCAGATTCAGTCTAGGAAACATAATGAACCTAGTTATGAATAATGTCATTCAAAGGTTGACAGACTGAATGGAAAGTAAGTCTGACCATCATTTAAGGGCCATACATCTGTAAGATGACACGTTACCTTTGAAGACTGCTAAGTATTAGATGGTCAAGTCATTTTGGGGACACAAATTAGCTAGACATACAATCTAAACATAAACATACATATCTGTGGCTGTGGCAATCACCAACTGATGTGGCAATCAATTGACTTAATGATAATTATACCATTGCATGCTGTCTCTTAGTGGAAAGACT